CAGCAATAATTACAAGTACTAATGATTGTATTACTAATTATTTTAAATATCAATTCATTTAATTACATTGCTACAGAATTTTCCTGCTTGCTTAATAATATTATTATTACAATGATAATATAACGTCAAAGCCGTTGTACGTGGATCCTGATGCCACAGGTCATATCTCATTTATTTTAAGTGCACTCCTGGTGGAATCCAGGTGCTGCTGTCTTTCGCTCTATCTTTCAGTCCAGCAGTTTGTCTTACTTATTTTCTTGGTATGACATATAAAGGAATGAAAGGCATCCGATAAAAGCCTTTCCATTTGAACTCTTTTTCATATTACACAACAAGCATAATTGATTTCCTGTAACATTCTTGGATTTTGGATACGTGAGGCTTTCCCATCAAATTTATTGAAGATTATTTACTGTGAATCTGTATTTTGTCTTCTAGTGAATGGACATCCAGTACTGAAAAGAGCTAACATACGGATTGTTGGGAATTTAGTGGCCAGCTCAATGAGAGAGAGGAAATTGAGACAACATTATGTACCACCACAGTGAAGAGGGATTGTTTTCAGCACAAAGTTAATTTTTAATGATTGGGCCTATCTACTCAAAAAGACTAGCTAGGATTGAAATGGATCAATTCAATATCACAGGAAAAGTGGACAAACATCTTTGAATATATCCAAATAATTTAGAAACGTTGGTCTATCATGTCCTTTGGATAAGCAGCCCACCTTGAATATTAAAACCCCTGCTTTCTCATAACAATAAAGATAAATCAAGTGAGTGTCATGTATTCCTGTCAATGGATTGAAATCTGTTCTAATATAAATAAGTGCAGTCAAGGACTTTAAGATGACCATTGCTAAATATATCTTTCTGATACAAAATACTCTTGCATTCACTCTTCTGTTTGTTTAAAAATGGCCCTAGTCTTTTTGTTGAAGTTATTCATGCCGATTCATTATTTTACTTTTTCCTAACACTATCCAGTGTTCCGTTTTTGCTAAAACTTTCTTAAAACGGATTTAAACAGTATTAATTTACTAGTCGAGGCCAGTATTTATAGCATTAGTTTATCCTACTCTCATTGCTCAGATGATCTTAAGTGAGAAACCGAGAGGCAAAATATAATATTCTTCAGTTTATTTTTGTGTTGAAAAGGATTTGAAACATAGCTAACAATAATTCTTTTAAGACTTGAATTTAATGGTATGTTTATCTACTTGCTGCATTGAACTATAACCTCTTGTTAACTCCAGGATTCTCAGTAGAATGTAATTATTCTCCACTTTATGTTTTCATATAAATTTCCTGTGTTGGAAAGCCTAATTTCTGCTATGTTAATGAGGATTAGAGTATTATGTTAATGAGGCAGGATGCAATCTATAGGATTAGATTCTATTAGAATCAATCTCTTTTGAGCTATAAGAGAGATTAAAATGTGAGTTAAAAAAAGGGACCTACACAGCGAAGGGGTCAGGTATCAGGCATCAAAGACCAAAAAAAAAAATTCATAACATTTTGAATGAGGGGGAGTGCAGAGTGGGGACCCAGGGCCCATCCAAGGGAAATTGGACATCCCCTTGCAGAAGGGCTGCAGGGAGGAGAGGAGCAAATCAGAGTGCAGTGTAGCAACGATGAAACATACAAACTTCCTCTAGTTCTTAAAAGCTTCCTCCCCCCCACTACCATGATCCAATTCTACCTTACATATCTGGCTGGACTGAAGGATGTACACTGGCACAGATAGGAACTGGAAATACAGTAAACCCAGGACAGATGAACCCCCCAGGACCCGTAGAGAGAGTGGTGATGGGAAGGTGAGGGAGAAAGGGGGAACAGATGGCAAGGTCTACATATGGCCTCCTCCCTGGGGGATGGACAGCGGAAAAGTGGGTGAGGGAGATGTCGGATGGGGTAAGATATGATAAAATAATAATAATTTATAAATTATCAAGGGTTCAGGGGGAGCGGGGAGTGGGTGGGAGGGGAAAAAATGAGGAGCTGACACCAAGGGCTCAAGTGGAAAGCGGGTGTTGTGAGAATGATGAAGTCAACACATGTACTAATGTGCTGGACACAAATGATGTATATACGGATTGTGATGCGTTGTATGAGCCCCTAATAAAATGATTATTTAAAAAAAGGGGGAGCCACTACCACCCAGACAGATGTGCCAGTAGGAGTGCACATCTTTTGTATCTGAGACTCTGCACTGAGAGCCTCCTGGATTCATGGAAAGATGAATGCCAACAGGTATGGAGACATCCAAGGAATCCTGGACCTGCAGGTACTGAAATGGAATACGACCTTTTCCAGAAGGGGAACAAGAAGGACACAAACATTCACCAAGGGTTAGCACCCCGATTTCAGACCTCTAACCTCCTCAACTTCCAGAGACTACAGTTGTTTGTCAAAGTCTTCTCTTTGTGGCATATCTGTTCCTGTAGCCATTTTCTTACTGATATCCCCATCCAGCTACCTCTTTATCAAGGAGAGAAAGAAAACAATTAAAACAGGTAAAGAAACAATTAAATGAGCAAAAGCTGAAGGAAAAAAATCTGCATAACATAGATGGGGACAGAGACAGGGAGTTTATGAAAGATTTCCCTCCTCACCCATTTATATCTATAATCCATCTCTTCAATAGACTTTTTGCTTTTCATAGAAAAAAATCATCTCCTTCAGACTACTTAGTGTTAAGGATCTTACTATCAGAATGCATGGGACAATTATAAAATAAAATTTTAGGAAAACATATTCTTAAAATCATGCTAAATCAGAACCTCTGAAGCAAGATGGACCAAAAGAAATGGTGAACGTCTGACGAGAAAATGATGTGACTAACGCGTCCGATTCAAGGAGAGGAAGTGAGTGGTAAGCGGCTCCCATGGAGTCCCTGTAACCCTAAATCATGCACACTCTTCCTACTGATCACTGAGCGCACCTGTCAAGAGAAACGTTTGCTTTTCTTCATTTCAGTATTGAAAAGGTTTGAAATGCACAATTAATTTTTTTCTAAAACTTATACATGAGTTGATTTCAGCCTGACAACAACTATTTAACCTGCTTCTTTTAAATAAAATGATTATGATTTCCTTCAGCCCAACCTTCTGCCTTCCCCTGCATATCTCCAAAACATAGAGGAGACACCTGATATTATAAGGAAAGACACTTGAAATTTTGAATAGAGTACTTCTTAATAAGTGTAGTTAATTTAAGTGAAGAAGGCAAATATATGAGGAACTAAAATAAAAACTTTCAAAACTACTAATTATACATCAATAATAATTAAACTATGAATATAAGGAGTGAGATAAAAAGTTTATTTTTTCTTTAGTTAAAAAAAAAATCAGTTTCCTGTCTCTTGCTAGCTAACTTTGATTATTATTTCGGACTTTTAACAAACTGACATGGGGCTACTGACTGTTTTATTTAGGGTAGTAAGCCTACATCGAGATCAATGACAATATGTCACTCTGGAGTTGTAGAAGACAGTGTAAGGTCAGGGAAAAGAAGCCTTCACTTTTCAATAGTCAGTTTCCATATAAAAATTGGCACTTGGTGCTCATCAAAGAATAAGAAATATTGGATATGCTCTAACTGTCCGTTGTGTTTTGGTGCCAACTACCTGATGGAAGTCATCACTTATATGTAAATGAACTGTCAATGGCTTGCTACCGCTGGCACTCACTGGACTGTGAAGGGTATGTCTTAATAAGAACCAGAGCTCTTCACCGACTGATTTACTGGAAATAAAATAGAAAAGTCCTCTGAGACTACAAAGGACACTTGTTTCAGATAAAACGTCTAGACAGTAGCAATATATTTAGGGCTTTTATTATAGCAAAACTGCAAATTAGAATAGAGTGGTGAGAAAGTTTCTGTGACCCAGCTGAGTTCTAAAACACTGTTCTGACTAGAGTAATATGCTCTTTAAAATAGCTAACCCAAATTAAACAAAATTACATTTTAATAAAAGAGAAATAATAAAGGTCGAGTTTCCGGTTTGTTACAACTTTTAAATTGTCTAGGTCTTGGGCTTTATACTTTCTTATAAATGCATTTTTTCAAATACAGTCTAACTATTAGAAGAGCTGAAGATCAAATTTCTATGATCCTGCATCATAGATGATTCCTGAGCAAATTGGTTTTTTAAAACAATAATGCTATATATGTAAAATACTTGAGAGTTTGAAGTAAACTTTCACACAAAGGTTTAAAAGGCTACATCTAATTTTTATATTAACTACTCTCACAAAGCACATTATTTCTAAAGACATAATTGTTCATTATAATCTAACAGCTTTAGAAAATAACTCTAAAATTCATATTGATTCCAGACATTATTAATAATGTATTTTTTATTAGATAACAGTTCAATGTAAATCAGCAGCTCTCCTCCATAAAGTCTTTCAGTGATTTAGGCTTCTGTTGAACCATTTTACTTGAATCTAGGCACTAGCGAGAAAAAGATGTGAAGAAACCACACCAACTTCACAGCCACTTCAGTCTGAATTTGTGGCATACAATTCCCTTTTCCTTCCACTGAGAACTTCTTACATAGCTCCATCTCAAAACAAATGTAACTCACTGCCATCGCGTCCATTCCTACTCTTGGTGATCCGAATGGATGGAGTAGAACTTCCACTGTGGGTTTGTTAAGTAATTTAGTTTAGGGTCTGGGGCATCCATTACGCATGCTCAGAGGTCGGAGCTACTGGCCGATAAGGAGTGGTACACAGCGCATGCTCAGAGGGTCCAGGCTTCTGGCCAGGAAGGGGAGGTACACCTTGGAGGGTGTTACACCCGGATTGGTCCATCTAAGCCATGTGAATTTGATTCAGCCAATGGGGTCGACGAGGGTTGCCCACCATGCCTCCCCGCAGAATAATTGAAAAGGCGGGAGCCTGAGCCGACCATGTGACTTTTGGAGCAGCTTCTAGGGAGGCTGCACAGGGTGAGGGGCCCTGCGGGTGCCCATGTGAACCTGAGACTTCTTCTGACTCTCATAAAACTCACTAGGATCACAAACCAGGCTTCCGTGTGAATTCTTTCTCGCGTAGAGCGAAGGACCGAGGTATACCTTTATGAGAGCAGAAAGCCTTATCTTTTTCGTTCAGCACAGCTGGTCGGTTTCAACTGCTGACCTTGTGGTTAGCAGCCCAGCTTGTAACCCAGTATTGTGAAATGGACTCCTCTAAAAGCAAAGAACTGGAAACACGGCCTATCCTTGTGCCAAAAGAAGAGAATGCATATCCCACTGTACGTAAACCACATTATTCAAGTCTTTTATTAGCTAGGAAATTTAAGTGACTATCATTCTGGTTTAAATTTTTATCATAAAGTTGTCTTAATAATACAGTGTTTTCTAGTCTTTCCAAGATTTTGTTGCTAATTTCCTAGCAGAATATCATAAATTCTAAAAGCATCTAGCATCTATTTAAAGCAAAATCCTTTTTCTTTCTTTTTTTTTACTTTTCTCAGATGTTTTTCTTACAACTGAAGAATTTTGTACAAATGAAAATTTCAAATAAATAATTTTCAATGATACATTAAACCCATTTTAAAAATTAAAAGTACCGCCCATTTCATAAAAAAATAAATATAATTCTTGTTATGGAATTAGTTTTTTGAAATAAATATTTTTCCAGAGAGTGGATAAATACAGGGAATTGTAACATCTCCATCATTTTCTCTAGAGTCAAGAAGAAAAGAAAGCATGATAAAATGATTCTAAGATCGACTTACCATCTCAAAAGAAATTCTTCACTACTGTAAAGAGCATTAATGAATTGAATCTCATCCCCATTTTCTTTTTAGATATTTTTTAACAATGAAGTGGAAAGAGAGCCACACATATACAGTTAGTGAGTTTTTGATAAACGGGAAAATATAATTCAATGGAGACAGAAGAAATTGAGTTAAAGACATAGTTGGAGCTCAGCAAACTCAGTAAATCTTACAAAGATAATCATTTAATATTGCCATTGTTTTTAAGGGAAGACAAAGAAGATGAAATGTGGTTTATACATCAATAGATAGACTTTGAGGACTATGAAGAGACCAGGGACAGGGGTGGGGACAGGGACAGGGGTGGGAATGGGGGAGGAAACAAAAAAAATGGAGGATTTAGCATGAAAAAGTAAACAAAAATAACACAAAAATTGCTTCATAGGAAAATAAATCTTCAAAACCGTATTACTCAAATATACATATTAGTGATTGGAAAAAGGAAAAGTAGGAAACTTAAAACTGAAGTGTACTTGTAATCTTTAATGACATACAAGTTCATTTCAAACATTAAAACAAAACACTGAGTTGTATGCTCCAAAAATATGTATTGATGTTTTAAACTCTGAATCTGTAAATATAGTGCTGCTTGGAAATAAAGCCCACCATTGTAAGTTAATGAGACCACACTGGAGTATTATGGGTCCTAAACCTGATCGTTTTTGTCATCTCCTTTAGAAAGAACAGAATAGACACAAGTTCAAAAGGGAAAACAGTCACCTGTGAGGAGCCTCTATTAAAGAATGCCAACAATTTCTGGGTGCCACTGAAAACTGGTAGAACGGTCAATGGGTGGAATTGACATGGCTGATGTTCTAATACGGACTTTGAGCATCCATGACTTGAGGGCATTTATTTCTGGGTCTCAAGCTACCCATTCAGCACTAGATCACTAAAACAATTGTCAACAAATCTCCGAGACAACTGGAAATCCCCTTGTTAAAAAAAAAATCTTGACACAGACCTGTCATAGTTCTTACATCATGTCTTCTCCCTGTGTCTGATTCTATTGCTATATTTGTTACCCCTTTTTAAAAAAACACAACACAGCAGAGATTAGGATTAATTTCACACTTGAGCGATCTCATTAAACATAACTGATAAGAAGAAAAAATCTAAATAATGTCATGCTTAAAGCAGAATTTAAACACAATACTTTAATCCAGGATATCATATGATCCATTAGTCATTTTCACTCAATTTAATTGAAAATTTAATGACCTCAGAAAAACTGGTACATGTTTATAGAAGCTTTATTCTTAGTTGCTAAAAATTGGACAACCAAGACACATTTAAAAAAGGATACACTGTGATGCATCTATGCAATGAAATAATATTGTATGATAAAGAGATGTGAGCTATCAAGCCGCTAAAAGACACAGAGGGCCCTAAATGTACATTGCTTAGTGAAAGAAGCATGTCTGTGATGGCTGTATGATTCCAAATATTTGACGGTTGTAAATTGCTGAGACATTATCAGGTTCGAGGGAGATGGGAGTAATGAATAAGTAAATCAGAAGCTATCCTAGGTTCATGAAATTATTCTGCGTGGCATCATAATGGTGACCATGTCCCTGTCAATTTGTCCTATTGTGATGGTTTGTGAGTTGCAGACCCAAAGATGCTTAACAACAATTAACAATATCATTCCCTGGACCCAAAACAATGCACAAATTAAGGCACAGTAATATTGATATCACATGAAAGTAAAATTTTGCTGAAGATCGTCCAACCACTGCTGTAGTAGTACATTGACAGGGAGCTGCCAGTGATGCAGGTCAGATTCAGAAGAAGACAGGAAATAATGTATATCACTGTTGATGTCAAGTAGATCGTGGGTGAAAGCTGAAAATACCGATAGATGTTTGCTTGTGCTTCATTGATTATGCAAAGACATTCAACTGTGAGATCATAACAAACTATAAGAAGACTGGGAATGACAGAACACTTTAATGTGCTCATGCAGAACTTGTACACGGATCAAGAGGCAGTTGTGAGAACAGAACAGGGAATCACTGCATGATTTAAAATCAAGAAACTTAAGTAAAATCAAGAAAGTGTTGCAATATCTCACTACAGTTAATTGATGTGCATGCTGAGCAAAAATCAGAAATTCCAGCTTATATAAAGAAGAATAGGGTATCAGGATTAGTGGGAGGCTTGTTAACACTTGCGATATGCTGATGACCCCACCATGCTTGTGAAAGTGAGGAGAACGTGAAGCACTTGCTGATGAAGATCAAGGATTATTGTCTTCAGAGTGGATTACAGTTCAATGTGAAGAATACGTTAACCCTCACAACTGGGCCAGTAGGTAAATGATTGAAGTTTCCAAGTATTCATCTTGTTTGGATCCA